TCAAGTCGACTATCATTTTTGTCACTCTCGGAAAAAAAAAATTTTAAGCTTGGAGAACTAGTCTTCTTTTCACTGTTTGCTTTTCTTAATAACCCCCATGATTTATACGTAGTTACTTCGATTTATTAATAATATAACAGAGTGTAAGGTTTTTCAATTAAAGAATCCATACAGTTTTATTCTATTAGCAGTTGATTTGGCTCATAAAAATGAGCTTCCCGACTTTATGGGGAAAAATTTTGAACTTAACCAATTTAAATTTGACCTATAAGTAAATAACAGATAAATACAGCTTCTATTTAGTTTTCTCTATACAATGCTGTTTCATTTTGACTAACTCAAAATTACTTTAGTATTCGAAAACTCTTGAAAAAAAATAAACTTTCCAAAATAACGTGCTTTGGCGAGAAAAAATCCCTTTGAGTTCGCAAACTGTTCTTTCTTTATTCTTTTGAGAGCCTTCTTGACTTCTTTTTCGTCTTATCCGAACCCCTTCAGCTGTGCTCATTCTTCCAGACATCGTTATCTGTTTTCCATATCACGCCAAGTTGGGGGCCAATCGTTTAGGTGAATGGCAGATTGCTGTTATCGATTACTGGTTAACCAGGAGGAATAATTCTTTTAAAGGGATAAATATTTGTTCTATATCTGCGTCTCTTTTTCGTTTCCAAATGAGCTGTTTCGAGAACAATCAGACAATTTTTGTTATTTTTATCTACATCTATATTCTTACCGATATATATGTATATTATCTTTAGATAATATAGCATTTTGTAAGAGAAACAATATTTTCTCATACGTTTCGATTCCTAGCGATTGAGTGTGTTGAGAATTGTTTTTAGCCCTCTTTGATCTACATCTGTTCACCCATAAAATTTGGTTCATATTTGGAATCTAGAGTCAATATTATGATTCAATCTTGTGTTTAAAACTCAACTGCAATATTGTTTAAAATTAAAAGAGAATATTAAATGGTAGCTGACTATCCAACGATATTTGACAGATTTTACTGAAGTTTTGTATAAATATATGTTGAGACAAAGCAAAAACTAATAATAATTTTCAAAAGATTATAATGCACAGCCATGATGGTGTAATAATTGAACTGAGACATTCATTGGGTTTGTAAAGCATCAAATAAATGTCATACAAAAAACAGTTGATTGATGTATGGTAAATTTTGGTAATTTTTATGGTGTGAGCAAACTTTTTATGAATCTTTTGACTCAGAGAGTAATTTCATACCGGAACTAACAAAGGAGAGTAGGGAAGTGTGACTCACCAATTTTGAGAAAAATTAGTGGGATGTATACCTTATGAGGAATAATTTTAGGGGACATTATTCGTTTTGGCCTATAGAAGGTCCTATGAGAGATAAAAAATAATTCAATATATAGAAAAATCGGTTTTTTATTACTTCAATGCAGACTATTAGTTATTGTAATTACATCATACTCCAATTAATTTGCAATTAATTGGTTAATTAATTAATTTGATAATTAATTAACAAATTAATTATTAATTAATTTACAATTACATACTCCAATTAATTTGGAAAATTTTTTGAAAAAAAAAATTTAAAACATTGGATGCCAATTTTTTTTTTTTTAATTAACCTAACAGGTTTTTCTGAAAAACGACAGATATATAAAATTTTCGAAATCAATTTTGACTGTAAATATGCAATATATAGTACGTGAAAGCACCACAAAATTAATTGGAGTATGAGATAATTGAAATAACTAATAGTCTGCATTGAAGTAATAAAATACTAATTTTTCTACATATTGAATTATTTTTTATCTCTCATAGGACCTTCTATATAAGCTAAAACATTAACGTTAACAAACTTTAACATTAAACATAACTTTAACATTAAACATAACTTTAAACATTAGTTTAAAACATAAACATTAAAACATTAGCCGAAACGAATGTTGCCCCCTAAAATTATTCCTCATAAGGCATACATCCCACTAGTTTATTTCAAAATTGGCGGGTCACACTTCCCTAGTCTCTTTTGTAAGATACTTTAAATGTTCATGTTACAAATGGTCTCATTCATCCGTCAACACTGCCTTTGGGTGGATTGTGATTTTCAGTTTGTCCTCCCCATACCTACCCAGACACGTTTTATCGCTTTAGGTCTTGCCATCTTGTTGGCCAATCTACTGCGTCTATAATTTCATTCCTCTGGAAATTGCCAACCAGATAACGAGGGTGCTCGTTGTGTTCCGTGAAAACAAGATATTGGTCATATCAGGAGCGAAAAAAAACTTCAGACTCTAAAAACACATTCTTCTACTTCCCTCAAGTTTAAATGCACATTTACATTCATGAAACGATCAAAAAATATAAGCCTAACAAATTCAACGATTTAACATAACTTACCAACAGGATCAGCTTGAACAAATAACTCCCACAAAATGGTTTCAGTGACTTTTTTATCAAGACCTCCCACATAAATGGTGGCATCAGTGTAAAATTTCATTAATGAGAAGAAATTAACAGGTTCAAAATAATCTAAAAGCTAAAAATAAAATCTAATGAAAATTCTGTACTCTTGAAAAAGTAATTGCAAATATAGACACAACTAGAATAAAACTTAAGAGATCAAAGTTTCAAAGTTTCCCGTTTAAATCACCGAACAACTGCATAATAGTTGATTTTTTGAACAATGAGGAACATGTATACAGTAATTGTTTCTCTCTACAAAAAAGTCGGAATCATTTGAACCATGGACATACTATACTGCCCTTCAATGTCCATGAAATCGACCATCATAGTAGCGGAGATCTGGAGAACTGGACAAGTAATGATAAATGCCACAAAACAACCTCTTTCCCTTTAAAGAGGATTTTTTGTTCAAAATGAGGTGTATAGAGAAGATCTTGGAACCCTATTGTTGACTTTTGAAGAAAAAGGTTGACCCTGTTTCCTTTATAAGGAAGTAATGCAGTGTCGTAATGTTAAGCTGAATGACAATTTTGTGGAAAAGGATTATATTTGCCTGATGGATAGGTCAAAAAAATCTCCTGATCTCAACCCTACGAAGCAGTTCTGAGACAGTATGGGGTGGGCAATAGAAACTCTCATTCCCCTCCAACAACTGACAAGGACCTGACAAAGCGTTGCTAATAGAGATAAAAAGCAACACAGACTCTTAAACTGCCTTCTTTTTAAGTGAAACCAAGGTGTAAAGCCTGTATATTAATAAGAAGTAATCGTTCTTCCTATTAGTTCTTTTTTCTGTTAGATTCTGTAACCCCTTCTTTGAACTCTGCTGAGAATTCAATCAAGCGTATGTGTTATAACTGTTAAATAGTCATTACATTACTATTATATCAACCTGCGTTGATACCGAAATTCAGTAAAATCTGCAAAAATTCACTTAAATTTGAACACTGATTTATACTTCTAAATTTAAGATTAATCATAAAATCATCTACTCTCCGGCAATCACGAGAACTCCTCCAGACGCCAGTCTCGCGTGCTGACGGGTACCGTGGTTGCGAAGAAGTTGCTTCGCTTATTGATGCGGAGGTAGAAATTTCCCTTTGGCTTAAGTTTAGGCAGTGATATTGTTTTTTTTTTAAATCTATCATCTATTTGATATGGTTTTTTTCTTGTTTCCATGGTAGTAACCAACCTTCAGTCAGGAGGAACTTTTGTTGAAGCTTAGCAGTAATAATATGTGAGAAAGACTACCTTCAACGGTAATAAATTTCATACTGATACTCTGCTATGGTATAAGTAAGCTTGTACAATGCATTAGAACTTCTTTTCTCCAAAATACACTGTCTTCCAAACCGACTTGCCAAGTTGATTACACAATATAAAAAAAGAAGTTTGGATACAAAACTTTCAAATAAATTTTACATTAATCCTAAATGCTCAGGGGATTGGTTAATATTTCTTGCGTTTAGGGAGTGTAATTTTCTCAATGTTTGATTACATATTCTCACTGAAGCATGTGAAAAATATTTGTCTAGTAAATTTTGTATACGTAATTTTACAGTTTAAGTCTAATTTAAAGAATTGTCTTCTTAATATAAAATATACTTTAAATATGATATGTATCTTGCTTCCAAACACTTTACCGGTTGCTAGCGGTTGAGAACGCTTTCCCTACGCATCTAAGCTTTTCTTATGCTCAGCTTTCTGTTATAATCAGAAAATTAGATTTCTTGAAATCTTTAATGCTAAATTATAATTGTTTATTGATTGACCGAGAGCATATTAATATGCTACTACTGATTATTAAACATCGTCGTTTTAAGCAGAGCCGATCAATATATTATCAGTTGTTAGAGTTATACGCCATTTATACGATGAGTGAAAGCAGTCTTCTGACGTCACAAGACTGAGAAAAAAAACGCTTGTCAAAATTGCACCAATTCCAGTTGAGAACCTCACCCTGCGAGAATAGACGAAAATCAATCACCTAGAGCATGCGAAAAGCTACTTTTCGGCCTGACTCAGAGTTGTATTAGGCCGATAAAACTTGCCTGAAAGAAGCGTTTATAGTGTGGCTTCACGGGCTTGTGTGAAGCTTTGGGTAAATGAGAAGTTAACTCCTTAACGATCGGTTAACTTACAAGAAAACGGTCATAAAAGTGCCTATTTTTTTCTGACATCCAAACATCTTGAGTTGACATCTAGTTTAAAATAAACTAACTATCTACAATTACCTTTAAAATATCCTGGTACTGCAATCTGGTGTGTAAATAAGAAATAAAACGTTTTCCAGGAAAGAAATAGTGAATTAGTTTTATTCTTATTGGCCCGTTACTACTGAGCACTCCAGCCCGGAAATATGATGGGAGCGAGAAGGAAGGGGTTAAGCGGATTTGTTCCTTTTATATTCAAGCTCTATAGCTTAATCTACGTCTGCAGACATATATTTATTACATGCCCTATCCAGAGACGTGTAGAATGACATTATAGGGTTTACAATTGAAAGTGATGATTATGTTCTCTAAAACCTGATTTGCTTGCAGGTTAACTCTCTTATTGTCGTGTGCCATGAAGTTTGAAGCGTATCCCCATGATACTCAGATATGCACCATGAAGATCGAAAGTTGTAAGTTATTTGCAACTTTTTAATAATTTTATATTTACTAGTTTTTAATCTTGAAACCTAACTAAGAAATATTGAAACTTTCATTTGCTCGAAAATCAAAATAATAAATAATATTTTTATTAAGTTTAATCAATGGTCTGTAATTAATTTACAATTGCGTTATGGACTTGGCGTATTAATCAAGTGCATGTAATTTTTTTTAATAGTTTCATGAACTTAGCATATTAAGTAGAAATCATTAATTATTTGTTTTTGCTTGTCGAACTTGGCGTAACAATTACTTTATCACTTTGCACCAAGTTCGACGAACAAAAACAAATAATTACAAATTTCTGATTAATATACTTAGTTCATGAAACTATTGAAAATTAATTGCATGCATTTGATTAATAATAAAAAGGACATAAAGTCTTTTCTTTAGTTCATTTTTACAGATACATGAAACAACTTCGATACTCCGTTGCAAGAAAAGACCATTAAGGTATAGAATTTAAATAATCGTCCACGACTGCGTATAGTTCCATTTATTTCGTTATCAAATTATGCGAATATGCTTTCAAAACAATATGAAAATATTTTAAAAGTAGCAGACAGAAATGTCATTTGTTCTTTTACGTTATATATCATAAAGTTATAAAAAAATGTTATCATTGCGTAGTTTTACTGGGATTCTAGATTTGGCGACATATTTCGATAAATAAGATGAACATTCGTTCTTGAAAAAGAAACAACTAAATGGCTTTGCAAGAGCATTGGATTTGATTGGACACTGGATACGAGATTTAGAAAAAAAAAGGGCGTCTTGAGTCGACATGCGCAGAACAAATCGAATCCGAGATAAAGAATTTTTACTTTTTTGCTGTCGAAGAAAATCGTTTGCATGAAACAATATTTATTATTCTTTCATCACTTTGTTTAAATACGAACATATAGGCATGTATTTGGTACGATTTTTAGATATCATTTTGATTAATTCGTATTATTTGTTAATTGCTTACTCAATAATTTTTGTTTTCCTCATTTCACACGATTTAATAAACAAGCAAAAAGAAGGCTGGGTAACGTCATCTCAATTCGGTGATGGTGAAATTCTAAATTGGTGATGTTGATATATGTTCACGCTGGGAGCTTGGCATCCATTTGGCGTGCACTTAGATGCAAGTAGGGGATAATGTTTTTTTCTTAACTTGCAACAGAGTACAGATACTTTAAATTTTTTTTTGCAGAATGTTTTTAGAGTGTATGCATATAAAGCAAAAATAATGATTTCTTGAAACTGTAGATTTATTAAGAATAACTTTTTTACTTTTACCTGGTTGTTAAACCAGCTACTTGTAACGAAATAACGAATACAATACTATGTTAAGAAACACTTTATCCAATCAAACATACAGGATGGTACAAGACACGTCTCTCGAATTCTTATATCGGTGATTCAGGTTCTAATTCTTACTTACTTTTAAGCTTATTCTCGGCCCCATTGTTCACTAAACAGGTTTCACTGAGAGATTTTGAGACTTTATTCTTTTTTTACCAGTAGGTTCAGAGTTACAAACAGACATCGCCAGGTCACATAATCTAGTGCAAAAGTGCCATAACTGGTCATTTCTGTAGCAGTAAATCATACTGAAATAGTTACAAACGGACCTGGTCCGATCATAATCTGGTAAAAAAAATAAGCGGTCATCAAAAATTTTAGTTCTTTTTTCATTGGAAAATGGAAGACTTTTAGTTTATTTTCTAAAAGCGAATGTTAGACTAACTCGTTTAAATCAAGAGAATCGATTAATTTTAGTCACAGAAGCTGTTCTGTGAGGATTATAGAGCATTCTTATATTCTGTTCAGTGTTACAAGACTACAGCGTAGAACATTAAGAACTATTGATCCAGGAAGTGGATAAGTAATGTCCTGAGGTTAAATAAAACATAGTTTAAATCATAATTCATTCATTCGATGGAGAAAAAAACGAGAAAACAAACTTATTAATAGTTCTGTCGAAAAGAGTAATTAAAATTGATTATGATTGTTTTATCATTTCCTCCCTAGTGTCGTATACTACTGATGATCTTATATTCGCTTGGGAAGAAGAGGTGCCACTTGTTGTCGATGATTCTATAGAATTGCCACAACATAATCTAGTTGACACAACACTTGGTGACTGCACGAAAGTCTATTCAACAGGTAATTATTATAATAAATAATAATAACAAAAAGTAATTATTAAAATAATTAGATAATTATTAAAATAATTATTGTTTATACATTGCGTGAAATTGATTTATCCACCATGAGCAAAAAATATGCATCTTCAAACTGATATTTAGAATTGTATTACCTTTTATTTTGTTTTCGGGATTATCTTCTGTTATTTTATATTTAGTTTATGTTCTATATCCTATGTAAATTCCGTTTACTTAAATGTTTTATAATTTTAAATTATGTGAAGCTTTCCTGTCTCCATTTTAATGCCTAGTATAATTAAGTATAATTACTTTTATGATTCAAAAATGGTTTTGAAAAAGGAAAATTTAACCGAATAGAATATTAAGAAATCCGATTATCCTGGATATATTTTTCCAAAGAAGTATGAGTAACTTTTCAAAACAATATATGTCATCTAATAACAAATTTTTCTGAGAGTTAAGTACGTGGTTATAAGCTTGTAACGGAATGGGTGTAATGGAACGCAGTTTTTTTAATAGTTGGGGCGGAACGTTAAAAAGAATAAAGCAAGTTTTCAAACTTTTAGCCTGAGAACAATACTGACCCTTCGACTAACACCCGAGATCTAGCACACAAAGACGTTACTAAAGTACCCTTTTACCATGATTAAGATACCTTACATGGTAACATCATGCTACCAGTTTTCCGTATTAAAGGACTATTTATTGCATTTTTCTAAACACCATTTTCTCTTACTTAGGTAAAGAATTTTGACTATTGTTGAAAAAACTAATTGACAAGTATATATATATATATATATATATAATATTAGCTTTTTTAAGTTCGAATCATGCTGAAATAGAATTTCCACTTATCTAGCGTTTTTACTGCCAATTTAGATTTAATAAAAAAAAAATTAGTTTACTAAAAGCAATGTTTATTTTCTAAGAAGGGGTAAAATAATAAAATTTCTGAATGTTTTTATTTGTGAAATTTTCGTTCTGAATAAAGTTGAAACTACACTCGTAAAAATGTTAGTCTAAAGAAATATTTATTTCAAGTGCAAAAAAGAGATAAAATTTAATAGGTGGCAAAGTTATCATTAANTATATATATACATACATACACCTGGTTTTGCAGGTCATAGTTAGCTGTTAGAATACTTCTTATATCAAATCGCAGAGAAATAAATGCTCTATTATCAAAATTACTTAAAAATTACTCGATAGCTTTCTAACTGAGATTATTTTATAGCTGCCGACATTATTTTGCACACCACGAGATTTTTTTAAAAATGAATTTGATATCCGTAAAATAATTTCTTTTCATTAGAAATAAATATGCTTTAATTTCATTTTTCAAGATTTTTTTTTTTTATTTTTTTATTGTAAGATTTCATATGTAAGATTTTTGAAAAAGTAAGTCTCCTTATTTTTAGGCAACTTCACGTGCATCGAAGTGGTTTTTACTTTAAAACGTCGCTTGGGCTACTACATGTTCCATACTTACATCCCAACATGCCTCATCGTAATAATGTCCTGGATTTCATTCTGGATCAAACCTGAAGCAGTCCCCGCCCGCGTCACCCTCTGCGTCACGTCACTGCTTACCCTGTCAACACAGCATGCGCAGTCGCAGAAATCCTTACCCCCTGTGTCTTACATAAAGGCCATTGATATATTTATGTCTTCCTGCACCGTCTTTGTATTTGCTTCTCTGATGGAGTATGCATTTGTAAACATCCTACTTGGAGAAGGAGCTGAAGAAGACGATGAAAGAAGGCCACTCTATCCCAGAAAAAATTCAGTGCCCAATAACACCAGGAGCGTAGTAGTAGCACCAAAAGTACAGGTAACATGATCTTTGCTTATATTTATTCATTTAACTTCAGTTTGAATAGAATGCGAGCCTAAATGGTACTGAAAGTTTTGGACTGAATAATTAAAGTGTAGTTAAATTATCAACTCCATTTGTTGCAGTTGCTAATCTCGTAATCGTCTAGCAGGGCTGGACGACTCCCATGAATCCGAACACCTCCAAAAAGTCCCTAAAAAGACTGGAGTCTCGCAGGATCTGATCTTTACTGAACCCCAAACAAGTCAGAATATGCGCAGGGGAGGCTATGTCTGTCGAGCACCAATGACTTTCAACATAAGTTTTTTGGACCCGGTTGAAAGTTAGGGATCTAGTGTGGCCACTCAAGAAGCGTGAAAAGGCAGTTTGCTCGGTCTAAGATTGATAGATTGATAGATAGAGTGATTGCGAGGAGTTCTTATGATCCTGTTTAATTTCATTTTTGCCAGGGAAGAAATTTCACTAAAGGTAAGCTTCCCGCAATGATCAGTGTCTTCTTCGGCAGCGGATTTGGCAAGGATGTCCGCACTCTCATTCCCATCAACTCCAAAATGTGACGGAATCCACTGAAAGTGTATAGAATGGTTGGATGAAAGTATGTCAATTAGGTCTAAAATATCAAGGTTGGTCTGATCTCCGATAATATCCCAATTAGAGATATGTTGCTTTAAGGCACGACTATCAGTCAATATCCAAATATCTTGAAAATGATCTGCCCGAGCATCAAATCGCAAGCCTTTTCTGACAGCAATAAGCTCAGACCTCAATACTGAGCTGTTGTTGGGATTTCAAATCCATTTACAGGAGGCTATTGTATGGATGATGCATGCTTTAAATGTCACCACATATCTTAATAGCAAACTTATTGAGCTGCTTTTTAAAGCAACTTGCGTGGCTGGGTTATCCATTTTACTGAGAGAGAGAATGGGCATCCGTAATTACCAGCAACATAGTCGTTCTATCAGTTACCGTAGCAAAGTGCTTCCATTGGTGAAACTGGTCAAACGGAACTCGCATCTCTTCGGGACTCTGTTCACACCCATACAACTCAGTGGATGATGAACTGTAGTGTCCATAATTCCCTCTCTCCCAAACTAGGTGGTACTACTAGAATAACAAAGTCACATTCTACAACTCAGATATATTTAGCTTTATGGAGCCTAGCTTAGCTATAATTGAACTCTGCAAGATACTTAACTGCAATGGAATTACCTTAAACTTCGTACGACGTGTGGAACTAATTATATTTGATTCAACCACTTCCTTAACTGCGTTCCGTGGAAGGAAAATAGTGTAGAGTCCCTTTATAAAGCAATATAGTCTTTCCAGGTTGCGAAATTGTCCTTTTCCAGCATAAGCGGACCTTCGCTTCTTAGCTTTTAAAAACACGCTATAAGAAAATTTATAGTTTTATCCTCACTGAAAAATTCGTGGACTCTCAAGCTATCTGGGGACTTGCTATCTGGGGACTTGCTATCTGGGCAATAGATGTAAGTTACTTGGGTAGAATTCCACAAAAGCAGAAGTGATTTTCGAAAAATGATGCTAAATCCACGTGCTAGAAAACGTAAGTGATTTTAAATATTGCATATTTTAATAATTTTGAAAAGATAGTCTTTTCTTTTGACATAGTAGATCTCAGATCTGAAAGAAGCTTTTAAATTTAGATTTACTTATAATTAAAAATAATACAGACAATAGCATGCAGGTCCACGCATGTGCACTTCGGAATGCATACCGCAATTTATGTCAGCGTAGTAGTCAAGTAAAATCTCATTATAAGTATTTAATTTTATATCTGTTTATTAATATAAGTAGTTGTTATAATATAATATAGTTAAAATAGCTTTGAAACTGATATTTAAGGCAGTATTTAAATTATAAAAAATTCATTCGAAATCACACATAAAAAACACTGAAAATTCATATTTTTCAAAATTTATTTCTTTAACTAATTATTAGGTCTATTCGTCATTGCATTTTAATGGACCATAATATGAGAATATTCACGTTTGTTCCAATTTTAGGTGAAGTTTAACATTTGAAATCTTTTTTGCCTTTTACTTAGTTAAAACCCGAGATCCACGCATGTTTACCTAAAATTACTAGACCTCTGGCAGCAATATTCATACCTTGTTTATCGTATTATGACTTATGACAGTAAAATAGATATATAGAAATGTAAATTTTTTTGCCACATATTACATTATACCTTAGTCGTGAAGATGTTAAGAGCAACGAGCATGGCTGTTCGATCTTCGAACTTCGGGAAACTGTTTTCAACGTCACTACACTGTATAAAAATGCAGTATATATGAAAAAGAAATTCTATAAAAATGGAATTGCATGAACTTTTCTTGTGCCGACATGCCGACTTTTAACGGAATGAACTGAACATCACATAAAATGACACTGAGTCAGTGCTAGTACTGCATCAGTACATATGAGGAAGCACCAAATTCTTAGAAATTTCCTAGTGATACAGCAGTTTTATTACAGTATTTAAACTTACCTAAGAAACTCAACAAAGTAGTTTTTATGCCTAACATTAGAAGGCTGGAATGGTGGCTACTACTTCCGATTTAAGTCAAATTTTAGTTCCTACCGTTCCAACTTTCATGAGCTATATTTATATTTTCTTTTTAATTTTGAGATTTATTTCCTGTTTGACTCTTTTTTCTGAATATTTGTATATTTTGATAGAAGACAATCATTTTACCTGTCTTAACTTATGGATCCGAAACATGGTCTTTAACTAAGTTTCAAGCATACCTGCTCACTGTTTTTGAGGGAAAAGGCTGGAGAAAAATTTCCGGTGCTATAAATGTGGATGACTTATGGAGACAACGACATAATTTTGAACTATATAGGTTATTCAAGGAAGCTGATATCATCAAATACATCAAAATAAGTCTCTTAAAGCTTGCTCTTCACATCTGTCAAATGAACCCTGTTTCCTTGACATTTAAGATCTTCAATTGCAAACCAATGGGAACTAGAGTTAGAGATAAGGCTAAGATCAAAAGACGTGACTGCATGGAGGAGGATTTAATCCTAAATATCCTAAGAAAATCCTAAAAATGACTGACTGGAGAACAATCACAAAGAAAAGAGCAGAATGGGGGAAGGTTCTAGTAAAGTTTCTGGTCCACAAAGGGCTGTCATGCAAATAGAAGAAGTTTTTGTATTTTGATTGGTATAGAATAAAGAAAAGAAATCTAGGAATTATTCGATAGATATTAAATAAATGAATAGCCAAAATTAGAGATAAAACTCAAAAGATAGATAGTATTCTTTTTATTTATTGAGTGATTTTAATATTTTAGTTTGATTTATCGATTTTATACATAAAACACGAAAATATCTTAAATATATGTCAAGCATAGAAATACCTTATAACTGATTATATGTGCAAAACATAGAAATGTCTTATGGATTTTCTGTTCAAATGACTTAAAAAACATATTTTTTTCTGGGTTGTCCTTATTTTTAACTTTCCCATGGTGAAGTTTTATCTGAAACAAGAATCTATAATGGTCTAACATCTGAATTAGCTTTGAATTGCGGATTGTTCTTATTAGCCAGTTGAGTACATTATGTATACACGTCAGACAATATCTCTACTGCGGTGAGTATGACGTGTATACGCGTCGTGTAAAATTAAAAAAAAGAATAACATTGACAAATTGAAAGTTCAAATTGCTATTTAATATAATAAGTCTTTTATCTGGCTGTGTGTTGTCATTTATGTTATATATCGAAATTGTTAAGTATTTTTATTACTGGTTGGGGGAAGGACTGAAGTCGATTACATACCTAAACCGTAACTTTGACGGTAAGCGTAGATTTGTTTAATCGTTTTGACAATTAGTAGGGCTCTGGAGCTTTTCTCTACGAGAATCTTAAACATTCTTGAATCTAATTCAAGAGTTCGAAGTTTTCTTTCGCTCAAAAAACTTTCGCTTAATCGTTTTTGAAGCTTGACTGAAAGAAATACGGAAAAGATGAAAAACTGGTATCAAAATCATTTTATCTATAGTTGGCTATTGTGAACAGGGAAAAAAAGCTGTTATAAATTTTACTTATAAATGATTTAACAGCATTCACTTTATTTTGGATTAAAAAAAACAATGTAACAGGATCAGTGTAATGTGTAACAGGATCATTTGTCGTGTATTTACGTCATTGCCCTTTACTTACACTTATATATCCGGTTAAAATAATACGGGCTATGATATTTTTATGCTACATAATGATGAAAATGCAAATTTCAATTAATTAAACCTTTTGTTTCGTTTTGTAGGAAGGAAGCACTTCAGCTACTCTACCAAACGGGACAAAGCCAAAACCGACAACTAATTTTTATCGCCACAACAAACATCGAGCAAGAGCTATTCTTGTCGACAAAGTATCGAGAGTTGTTTTCCCTCTATCATTTATCATTCTAAACACTGCATATTGGACGGTATATTTAGATAATAGCAACACTATAGAACAACGCCAGTGATGTAAATAATTATTATTCGACATTCCATAATTGCATTTTTCTCCACTACTTAAACTTTCCTGTTTCAATAAGTGCTACAAATAATCTATACTTGATACTTCAATTGGACAAAATATATCCTAATATATATATATTTAAAAACATGGCTTTGAAACCATGAAGCTTATTTCATAATTAAAATTTAGTTAAAAATGTTATTCATATTAAAACTTGATTTGATTTTAGGTTACATGTGAAAACTGCAATATCATGTAATCTATTTATTACTAAGTCTGTCAAAAGTAGTAAGAATCTAGTTACAGCAATAATAGGTTAAAAAAATTTTAACTCATGAAATCTTATATAAAATGAATGTAATGAGCTGTTCAGTGAGAGTTGTGTAAATACATGCTCATAAAAATTGTTTACGCTTACATTGATAAGCATAGTTTCTATATTTATTTTAAATATTAATTTATTGAAGTGGTCGTGAATTAACTTCTACTTTAAGTTTTCTGATGATCATAAACTATGCCTATTGAAATATCGGTTTATCAACTACAGGGTGTCCCAAAAGGTTGTTTACAAACTTAACATGCTGGTCTGTCATATCATGATGAACAAGATTTACATAGGAACTTGTGTCCGAAAATTAAAACTGAGACCGCTAGAGGGCGATAAGTGCAGGTTTGGATGAGGAGAAAAAAAATGATATCGATAGCAGTGTTAATATGATTTTTATTATAAAACATCATTACATCACAACAAATGCTCAAAATTCCTTCCATTCGCCACAATGCACGTTTCACAGCGTCCGAGCATGGATTCACGAACCCGTTCAAATTGCCCAGGAGTGTCACGGGCACATGCTGCCGCTTCCGCGATCCTGGCGATAAGATCCATGTCCGATGTTACAGGTGTCTCGTACACTATGGACTTCATGTGTCCCCACAGGTAGAAATCCAGGGGAGTCAGGTCGGGGGATCGCGGCGGCCATGGGACTGGTNAAATGCGTACTCTCTCTGATGAATTATAATGTCACTTTAGGTAGTGGTGTGCTTATTTGTTACTTTCCTTCAGTTTCCATTTATTGCGAAATTAATAAATAAATAAACTGACAAAAAATATTTCCAGTGCATCAAAAACGCTTAGATATTTCTTTAAAATAAAATTAATTTGTTCAATCAGTTATGCAGATTATTTCAAATGAGGAGGTTTTACTTCATTTTGAAAAGCATTAATGATTGACAAGAAAATTTAGTTAATAACTAATGCGGGGTTTTTATGAGATATTTCAATTCCTTTTCTGAAGATGCAGTGTAATTTAAGGTAAAAATTTCATTGAAAGGTAGAACTTCAAAATATTTTATTACATACATATGAACATAATACGAAACAGCCTCGATGTCTCTGTGTTTAAACGCTGAGTCCTTTATTTTTAAATGCCTGAGGTTCGATCCTCGTTGCGGCTTGAAGTCTACATAACATCAGATAACTGGGTATCAGCTTTTCGGTACAGTAAAGATGACTGAACTGCATTACCGACTAAAATGTAACGACCATATAGTTGCTCTTAAAATTTTAGAGCCTTAACCACCGTGCCCTCCGCCACCCCATTTCCCTTCAACACACTAGGACTGATGCAAAAGTTTTTTCTCTTCTTTCTTCTTTTTTTTTACCTCTTTTTTCTTATATCATACTTTATGCGCGAGGAGATTTTTGATTTTAACGTATACAAAATGGAACAATTGCATTTTAAGTGTAAGGCAAGCACCAAAGAAATACACCAAACAAATGTCACTTAACGAAACGAAATTCTTGCGGCTTATTTTCGCAGGTTTTAAATAAACTCCTACGAGAAGCTGATATTTTAGTTGACACAAGTCTCATTCCATCAGATAAAAGTTTTTTTAAGGACATAAAGCAAATTTACACTAGGTATTTAATAATATATAGATATAAAAAAATTTATATTCGAAGAATTTTGTTATTTAAAACTCCATAATTCCATTATACATTCAGTACACAAAATTAGAAAAAATGGTAAATTAGAATGTATATCTACTGATTGGATTTTCACATACGAAAATGCAACCTTAATCCTTTGAAGACCTAACTTCAAACATGCTAATTAATCTGTGCAGACGCTATTTTAAGTTAGAAAATCTAATTTCTCTAAATAAACATACCTCTTTAGACGCATTTCGTTTTATGGCCCTCAAAATATAGCTGTCCTCTTGAAAATATGATTCGAATAATTTTACAAAAGTGCGATCAAAAGTTTGAGTCCTTTAAAATTAATTTCATTTTTTTCCATCAATCTTCAGATATCTGAGACTACTTAAAAATGAGAAATGATTAAATTTAAAAAATATTTTCTAAATGATTTATTTCTTTATTTTTTTTTTTTTTTTTTTTTTTTTTTTNATTTCTTTATTTTTTTTTGGTAAACTAGTTTTAAGGTTATGCGTAATCCTTTTTTCTTTCTTGATCATTTTCAAATGTTTTTCCGACCGGCTGAAAAATAAATAAATAAACAAATAAATAAATAAATACAATAAGTATCGAACTTTTGATCAAGCTCCTGACTAAACAATTAAAACCAAATTTTCTGCATGGTGACTATGCACCATGTTGTGAGAATCAAGAATACAAAACTATCTAAAAAAAAATTTAAGGTACCTTTTTTTTAGCTTTGATCATCTTTGATTTCGCATCTTAAAATAGCTATTGGAAAACTTAATTATCATATTTAAGCTCAGACCCTCCAACCATAAAGATTGCGAGTGTTTGAAAATACAATATTTAGAATAAAAATTTTTCATGCGTTTCTTTTTTTAGAGTTGTGCACTGTACAACCTCTGAGCTAATTACAAACATAAAAATTAATGGAACATCAAAAAATAAATTAAGAAGCTAATTTTTTTTCAAAAGTGCTACAAATATGAAAGTGTAAAGCTTAAATGTGAAATACGAAAAATTAATAAATTATGTTTGTAATTAACTTGCTAATTGCGAGTTAACATGTTTATTAGAGAAATTATTTAAAGCCGTACGTTTCCCTTTTATTCCTTTGTTATTTGAGCTTTAAGGCGTATGCTCGAAAACTTCTCTACCAATCACAGTATTGTTAAAGAGTAAGTAGTAAGACTATTGTTACGGTTAATGTTAGAAAAACGGTATGCAAAATCTCTCTATTATAAGATTTCTTAATTTTCAAATTAAAAGGAAAAAGTAGGAATTGACTTTTGAATATCATTTACAGTTTGAGAGATATAGTTCTGTCTTTGTGATGTAAAGTCATGTGTAACATAAATATCATCTAAATGTACATTTTACATTAATTCTTTGTAAATATTTTTGAGATCTATACAAGTTAACTAGGTTTATCTATCACTGTAAATAGAAAAAAAATATATAAGATTTAATCTCTAATATATTTATTTTGAAGTGTAGCATCAAAAAATCAACACTTCTGTAATCATTGATTACGAATGTAACATCACTATTCCCTTTCTTTCTGCCGCAGATAAAAAAAAAATTTCTTAAAAAATTTAATAATTAAATATTTTAAATTAAATTTAAGTTAAAATTTTAAAATTTTAACACCTTTTTCTTCGAAATTGAAAGCACTAAATTTAAACACCTGATAAGGGCGAAAATATATTCAACAGATTTTTTTTGTCGATCTATTCTACTTAGAAATAGTTGTTTACAGAATTGTTTACTTAAAATTTGTTTCATAATATTCACTTTTCAAATCCTTATATNTAATTACTATGCTTGAAAATAATTTTTATAATAATTTAATTACTAATAATTTAATTTTCATTAGAATTTAATAATAATAAATTAATAAACTATATTAATAAATAATATTAATAATTAATACATGATAATAATTTTTATACTCATTTCTAAATGCAAAAATACAAACATGGTGATTAGATATTGAAATATAATGAGTATAGAGAATTTGAAAACATACATAATATTTTAGTTTAAATGAGAGAAATGGAAATGCAAGATTAGACGTCAATATTGCAAATGATGTTGAATAAATAATAGTTATATACAAATGCAGAATTCTAAGATAGATATATATATAAGGAAAACTATTTTAATGGAAATCAAACAATATTTTAGTTGTTTAGTTTAAAAAGAAATAAATACTGACTATATTATATCAAATAATTGAGAATTCAAAATAAGTCTTAAAATGGAAAAAGGAAGGGACCAGATTTAATGAGCTTTATGTACGATTTAGTACAGACGCAAATCGAATTATAAGGAATGTTTATCAAACTGACAAAAAATATTTAAAATCCAATACTGTTTCACATAATATGAATTTACGCATGATAAAGTATTACAATGTACTTATACCATGAGTATTTATTGATTAGAAGATACTTTAAGTATACAGCTTTCATGGCAACCATTAAAAAAAAGTTATGTTCGAGTAATTCTTAAAAAAATATCTTTAAAAAGATTGTAATAAATATTAAAAAAATGGTTGCCACAAAAATTTCATGAAAAATAATAATTAGAAAAATAATTTCAAATAGAGATGACTAATCTGACGTCACTTCACTTATCTGTCCAAATGAAATCCATCAATGATTAATGAGTTACGGTTAGAAACCAACATAACTACGTTTCTATTAAAATATAAATGTAAGTTGTCCAATAGGAATGCTTCAAACGACAATTAATTGATTTATTCCACTCAATGGTCTAGTTCAACTTCTTGGTTTGGATATCTCTATATTAATGAAAATAAAAGAAAACTATTTTAAAAATTATTATTTAAATAAAGTTATGAAAATATATTTCATTTGTAAATTGTAATACCTGTAATGTTAGATTATTTGGTAATGAAACAGTCAAATAAAAAACTTTTTAAAAAAAAGAATATTTAAGTACTATTTGTGATGATAAGTCAAAAATACAATTTTAGAAATAAATGTTTAACCATTGCATAAGAAAACGAGTAAAAATCTTGTATAATACTTTATGCAAAAACTTTGAATGTTTAAAAAATGTAAATTACTTGATTTGAACGCACAATGGTTGTTGTGATCATGATTTACCACGTTATTATGTGCAGTACATAAATTTTGTCTTGTGGAAATATAAAGATAGTGAAGATAATAGCTGGAATGTAGAAAATGATTCGTCTCTCAGCAAACTCTCGTCGGGTAAAGTTTCGTGAAACTTTATCTCACGAATTGTAAATATTTAGTTTGTGTCAACGAAATTCCGCCTATTCAAAGGCAGCAGTTACAAGATCTAAGAAATACTCGTTTAAATAAAGGATCATTAATATTTATTCTAGCATTTTCCACAAAAGATTTCTCAGAAAGAGACTTGCATATTCTAGGTGTGTTTTGCAAGAGAGTCTTTTTTCATAACCCTATAAAACTTTTTAAAGAA